ACGGAGAGCCCTGCCTGCAGAGCCTGTATGCACACGGAGAGCCCTGCCTGCAGAGCCTGTATGCACACGGAGAGCCCTGTCTGCAGAGCCTGTATGCACACAGAGAGCCCAGTCTGCAGAGCCTGTATGCACACAGAGATCCCCGTCTACAGAGCTCGTACACACGGAGAGCCCTGCCTGCAGAGCCCGTACACACACGGAGATCCCTGCCTGCAGAGCCTGTATGCACACAGAGGGCCCTGTCTGCAGAGCCCGTACACAAACAGAGATCCCCGTCTGCAGAGCCCGTACACACACGGAGAGCCCTGCCTGCAGAGCCCGTACACACACGGAGAGCCCTGCCTGCAGAGCCTGTACGCATATGCATAGCCCTGCCTTGTGTCTTTTGCCTGAACTGTAAGCCAAGTTATATGCTTCAACCATCAGAAGATGAAACAGAAAATGTCAGAAACCTTGAGAATTTTAAATCAATCATCAGTTTCTGGACTGCCTCAAATTTATACATCAAGCATCATGCACTGATTACAACATGTGCTACCCTCACCTACAAATGGAGAAAACCAGACTGATCAGGCAAGACCCGGGCACCTTGTTTTAACAATTCGTCATATTTTCATCTGATGAATTTAGAAATCAGGCAAACAAAACCATGTTACCTGAACAAAACAGTCATGCAGTTTCCTCAAAAGTTAAACCGGGCAACATGGTCCTTGTTTGAACCACTCTGCAACGTCTGCCTGAGAATAAAGTCAAAATATACAGTAAATTAAAATGTTACGGTTCTACTGATTTCAAATGCAGGACTAGAATATTGGCGGCAAAGGCGGGAAAACTTAAATTTACAAGCAATATCTGAAAGCCTGTTGTTTGTCACAAGCTGTACCTTTGGGGGTTAATTAAAACTTGCCAGAAAGGCACATCGCCTTGTAACTTTTGATGGGAATCTCTAACACCGTCTTGATGTCAGCAGACAGGTCTCTTTACCCATAGTCCCTGTCCATAACAGCATCCCATGCATTTCTTACTCTGCATAGTAAATTAATAATGACAAAGGGAGAACTGATCGTTTGTTGTCCAGTTTCTCACAATTAAAATGTATTTTTTCTTTTATGGACGGAGTCAGAGTTGCATGTAGACTTTTAGAAGTCAGATGATGCTTGGTGCAGGAAGATCAGGCACGGATGATGAGGTCACTATCTCGGCTGAATAACATACTAGTGTAATGTACAGCATTGTGCCATTGAACCGAGATTTGTTTGCAGTTGTTCAAAGAAAACTACATCCAAAGAAAGTTCTTGTGTCAATGGTAAGCACAACAGACAGTTACGAGCAGGATTATCACAATTTGTGATCGATATTCGCATTCTAATGAACAGTGCTTTGCTTGGAGAGAGAGTCAAAGTCTGGCTTTACTGCACTCCTGCGCTCCGCACAAAATGTCCTGCCATATTCGTACACTTCAGGGCCAAACCCCAAAGTCAGACCACCCCTTATTTTCACCCCTTGGCCATCAGGTTTCTTATGATGTACCTCGATTTGCTAAGAGTATGTCGGAAAGCGCCTGCACACAGCAAAAAAGTGCCCCAAGGCTCTATCCTTGGTCCGTCTGAAGTCTGAAGGGATCTGCAGGATCGGGGAGGCTAACTGACCACATCTGTGAAAGGATGCCAGCCCTCTGAGCAGCGCAAAAACGGCGCTGAAAGGAATTCCCCTTACCAGACTCATTATATGTCAAGGAGACCCAGTTACCAGGCAATATTGTCAATGATTCACTCAACCTGGCGAATTACTTTCCGGTAAAATTGTGTCATGAATAAATCCCACCCTGATGACATCAAGGAAAGGAGGGCTGTTTATAACCTGATCTACACAAATTGAATAATTCATTCGTCAGATGTGCATCCCTGAGTCCCAACAACATCTTGACATTTTCAAATTGTCCTGTTTGTGTTATGATGACAAAAGGCAGTTTGGCTTTTTGTTACAGCGGCTTCCGAATCAGCCTCATTAATCCTGCATTTAAAGCCCCTGTCTGCCAGGCTCATTCCAGCTCCTATTACAGCCTAGCTCACCTGGTGATCCACAAACAGAGAGGTAACCCTGAAACAAACACGCGTTATGATGCAACTCTTCGTAAAAGGCGGCTCCACAACCCTCAAGCTAAAAGGCAACTCTATTAAAAGCAGAAAGACTCCATTGAAATGTGTTTCCTATGCTAGCTCTGTAGGAACCTGGTCACAACTGCAGGTGGGAGGGCCCTTTGCTGAATTAATCAGGCTCTCCACTATGGTCTCATTGCCTTTTTGCACTTCCAGAACATATCCATCCATCCATCCTCTCTGTACCCTAGTTTAGGGTACACCTTTTAAATTGAGTATTTCAGTATTTGAGTGTGCATTTATTTTTGTGTTATTCAGATGATTCTGATACCATTTTGAACATCTCCTTTTATCACTGGTCCTGTTTAGAGGGTTTGCTGAGGTTCTTTTGATTCACTTTCTCCAATATATGTCACTGGCAAGATGTACACATGAATATATACATGAAGTCGGCCATAAACGTCAAAGGTAACCAAAGGTTTGCCACCTTACAAAAAATCTATAGTAGTCTGTTGAATATTCCGAACAAAATGTCTACATATTGCAAGCAGGCATTAAGGCGGTGTTTGTTACTCACAAGTGACGTGACACTACAAAGCGGAAAGGGCCCCGCTGTGACAAACCCTGGGTCATCGTCACCAAATGCCCCTCACAGAAGGACAGCAGGCCTGTGGGAATCCCATTAAATCCGGAGAGATTGGATTCAGACAGTGACTCTCTCATCACGGGGGGGGGGCTTCTGCCATGGCGGGCTCACGGACATGCTGGCCAGATTCTTTTCTTTTTCTGCCACTAACAGTGAACCTGGCCTGGAGGCGGCGGGGGATGGGGGGACACTGGGGGTCACCAAATGCTCCATATCGGCTTTGGTGGCACTGACTGCATATGCATAATGGACAAATATACTAATATTACAGGAAGTCTATTCTGACCTGGAGTTCTTACCGCTGGAGCTGCTGCTGACTGCTGGGAAATACACAGCGGCCAGGACTCCTTCCCTGGACTCCTTCACGGAGGAGGTGAAGGTAAGGAGCACAGCCCTCAAAATGACAGGACGGGCACAGCGGCGGAGTTAAAGCCCTGGACTCCTTCATGGAGGAGGTGAAGACAAGGAGCACAGCCCCCAAAATGACAAGCCGGGCACAGCGGCGGAGGACAGGGGGCCAGGGAGCGGAGCACTAGAATTACAGAGAATAGAGATGCGTAAAAACTAATTATGCGATCATTTAATTAGCTATTACACGTGTGTATTTGACAGCTAATTAAACCTAAAGCTAGAACTGAATGATCTAATAAACGACGTTGTGAATCTCAATAAAATGTGGCTGACAGCCACTAATATCTCCAAGGTTACGAACAGCTAGCTGAAATACATTACACAAAGACCTCCATCCTAGGAACAAGGGCAGAGGTAGATCTAAGGGGTGACCAGGGGTAACTGGCCACCGTCAGCCAATACACCAGCAGGGGCGGGGCATAAGAAGGCGCAAAATTCATACAGAGTGGCCAACCTAATCATTAGCCAATGATGTGTTTTGAATCGGCGGATGACAGGGGAGGGGGCACTACTGGGGCCAATCAGCTTTTAGCTCAGGCCAGTGCCCATTTAGCCCCGCCCCTGTATACACATCACAGCAATATACTCAAAATGTGGATTATTTTATTTATATGAAACATACGGTGCGGCGCTTACCGGAAGCTGATACGGTTCAGATTTACATGCTGCAAAGTGTCATAAATATACTGCTAACAGCATTTATATCCAGATTAGGCCCCGGACCTGTATTACAGACACGGCTTTACCCAGCTTATCAAACATGCCAGGGGATCATTGCCGTTTTGTTCCATGACACCCCCATAAATATAACTTGCCCCTGAACACTACCCCTATCAAAATTTTCTGCAGACAGCACTTGATTGGGTACTGGGGGGGGGAATATTGCTTAGTTCCTCTTTGGGGGTGTTATTCCTGATGAAATCGCTGCAGCAGATGTTTAAACAGAGCTGATGGCAGGTGACATGTAGATGAGGTTATAAGACTCTGCTTGAGCTAATTAGTCCACACTGCGAAAAAATGACCAGGAACTCGGGACACATTGTTGGGCTTAAGGTCATTAATTAGCGATGAGCACCACGGGATCCTTAACAATGGTCCGGACTTGGGGTTTGCGAGAAAAGGCTCTTGTGCGAGCGTCACATGTCAGGACAAAAGAGGTGATGAGAATTACCTGCCTGCTGGCTCACCTGGAAAACCAGACCTTCAGTGGCCGATCTGTCAAAGAAGATGGGTGTACAGGGATCTAAGACACTGTCACCCGATCTACACAGCACCTGTCCCCCGCGGCTCCCCCTGCTGCTGGTGGGCCCACAGGGGGACGAACCCAGGTTACGCCATTGGGCCCCAAGGGTGGAGTCTCAGCCACCAGGCGCTCGCCTTCGAGCTCCCTGCACAAGCCTGGCCCCAGGACGAGGCCCCAGGACGAGGCCCCAGGACGAGGCCCCGGTCTCCCCAATCCGGGCAGAGTGCATAGCCCATTGTCTTATTCTTCATGGGGGTGCTCTGAATCGCCCTTAGTCTGGCTGCTCTCCCAGGACCTACTTGTTTTGGGAGTCCCTACCAGGGACACACGGCCCCTAGGACCATGGAGGCCAGACGACAAGGAGGTGATGCATGCAGGGCTGGCAAACACATTACTTTTTATTTTCCACAGTATTTGTTCGCAAACTGAAATCGGAAACATCATCTGGCTTAACATGATTCAGAATCTAATGGAATTACATTTAATCCATCCACTCTTTAATTCTATCCAGGAGATTCAGAAGTCTGGTTTAAAGTTTCTTTCAGGAAAGTATTTACCCAATTTCTCACAGCCTTGCCTGAATGCATATTTGCTTTAATACAAGTTAACATATGTTAATTTGTTCATTTTTTTATTGAGCAATTTTAAATAAACATATATTCCATTTCTGTAGCCCTGTTTACATAAAATCTCATTTTCTTCTGCTTCTTGAAACAGATTAATTAGTATTAGAACTTAGTCATCTTTAAGGACCAATAAAAACCTATTCAGGCTACAAAAGATTTATTTAAAGTCATCTTTAAGAAAATCATTGGCTGTTTTGTGTTCCCATAGCACGGAGAACAATGAGCACTGGGAATGAGCACAATTCAAAGGATTTTAGTGGTGTCTACGTGATGTAAAATTCTGACTGGTTTGTGTATTAGGATTAGTGGTGGGTCACGCTCCAACAGAACACACTTCACTACCCTACACCTCCCAAAACTGCACAAACGGCTGGAATTTAATTTTTGCTAGTAGCTGACTGAAACAATGTAGTAACCCAGATTGTCATTAGCCCATAATGAACAATGTAATTTTCAAGCAGAAGAGCAACCTGTTCACATCCAGTCCTTACCGGCCACACAGCTATTTTTTCGGATTTTCAAATCATCATGTTTTTTTTTAAGTGTACATTAGGACACTTCTGTGCAATTTTGTCATGCATTCATTTTTTCAGTTTTCTTCTTTATATATCCAACATCTCCAGTAATTCTTTGCTCTACAAAATGAAGAATCTAATGCTGAATGCAGGACGATCAGGCCCTTCACGCCAACTGGTTAACTGGGGACGTGAGTGAAACTGGGATTGACCAAGGAGACCCTGCATGTAATCACCAAAGAGAACCTTTGGTGTACCTGTGCCAAGAAAGGAATGCAGAACATACTCTCTGCTCCTTGTTATGCTCCAACATGCTATCTTCAGGGCTGTCAGCTTTGGTCAGCTGGCTGCAGTGAGATTTTCAGTTTGAGGCAGTCTGCACACACCTGCACACACATGTACATGTATGTAACAGTTTAATTACCTTGCAGGGTTTGAAAACTATGCTTTAGTTGTAGCTAATTTTAGGTTCATAATGGAATAATATAGATTTGTCATAAGGTTTCTTGCGTGAGCGTGAGAGTCTGAGAACATGAGAGTTGGTAATCAGGTTTTTTTTTTTTAATTAGTCAGTGGGCTAGTGTTCAGTGTAACTTACTCGCCTGAGGCGAGAGAGTGAGCTTAGTTTCCAGCCCTATGGGGACACAACCATCTCTGCAGTGTCCCCTCAGTGCAAGCTAACCCTCATCCACGCTGGGGCATCCCCCCCTGCGATTCAAAGCTTCGGAGCTGGTCTGTCGTGGAGCTCCTTTAATGAATAAGTCTCTAGCTGTTTTCCATGTGCGAGAACGGTCCGGCAGAGCTGCGGAGTAACAGGCGGAGAGAGAAACTCGGCTGCTCCGTGTTTAACTAACGGAAGAAGAGTCTGCTTGCATAATGATGTGGATTTTAGCCACTCATTTTTATAGCTGAACATGAGAAGCAGGACTGTAGGGGCCAAGCAGGGCTGTATACAGAGAGCACTGGCAGTACATATCATATGCATTTTTTCTGCTTCGTTCTGGAGGTGGGGAAATGACTTAGACGAAGCAAAATAATGCCAAATTGAGCCTAATTGGCCTGGTTGATGAGGACGTTCATGTGACTACATTCTGCGATAGATTAAAGCATTCCACAAAGAGTGTGTGATATGAAATCACAGCAACGAGAGCAGCTAGGAGGATGTGCTTGCTCGGGGGGGGGGGGGGGTGAAAGAATTTGACCGATGAGAGTCAGAGATTATCACGTGGGGTGAGGGCGGACATCAGAGGGCCTCCACACATGCTAATGACTTAACATCGAGGAAGGTCACTTCTGCAGAACTCTGAGCCAAAATGAAACTTGCAGGCAAGGCTGAATGTGAAAAAAGCACCTTCCAGTGTTACCAAGTGTTCCAGTGCATGCATCACTGCTACATAAATTTGAAATGGCAAAGATCATGAAGCCGCCCATAAACCCTTATCTCACCTGGAGTAATCTGGGATTTGCCCTAGAAGTCAAAGGACGTGAAGAGCCCACCCTGCGAGGGGGCAGTGACACGCTTCACTGACGGTCACACGGGTTAAGGTTATGGTCAGGCTTGGGGTTAAGCCTAGGTTAAGGTTATGGTCAGGCTTGGGGTTAAGCTTGGGTTTAGGTTATGTTCAGGCTTGGGGTTAAGCCTAGGAGCGACGGTCATAGGACAAGTAAGGAAAGACAAACTCACCGAGGCTGAATTCCACCAATGGCAGCTCAGGAACCAGAATGGGGCCTGCAGAGAGAGTAAAACATCCAGCTGTTAAAATAACCTACTAGGTGAGCAGCAAAATGATGGCATTGAGGAGAAGAGCTGCGGTAAGAAGCCCTTTGGTGTGTAGGGCACACAGGGAGTCCCACGTGGCGGCACGCACGGATCGGCTGTTTGCTGACAGAGTGCTGACACGGGGCACGTGAAGCCCCAAGCAGGCTGTGATTGATATGTATAGGCTGTCGAGGACTTGGCGCCTGCCAAGGCGAGGGCTCTCCTAAGCCCAAGAGCGCCAAGGACTGGCACGCGTGGTGAGCGCTGCCCGCGCCTCTGCCATCTGCCTGGGTTTCTGGTTCCCTAACAGCCACGGGCTCATTAATCCTTAAAAACGGAGCTGCGGCAAACTGCTCGCCAGCCTGCCGGAGCCCAGCCGCAGGGTGGCGCCTGAATCCCCGTCCCGTGTCCCCGGTTCAGTGTCCCACTGCAGCCAACGAGCAAATGGGGATGTTAAACAGGCACAGGAGATCCGTCCCCATAATGGACCTGCAAGTTCTGCGTCTTGTTCCGACAGGCCACGCTGGAGTGAGACATGTTTCTAACGCCTAGGTAGATTTACCTGACGGCACATGAAATGAGGCATTACTGCATAAAGGAGGCTCTTTCCCCAAGAAATGAGAGTCACCTTCCAATCCATCAGCCTACGGGGCGAGCTGGGACATGTGGTGATTTGTTCAAGACAGCTGTGTTAATGGACGCCTTAGGAAATGCTGTCTGACTTGCTTACATATTCGGAGAGCGATGTCAGTTGCGTAAAGCTTTTGGCTGCGTCACGCTGACAGATTCATCATTAGGCAGCATTATCGTAAACAATACCAGCAGTAACATCTGCTGGCAACACGTCGGCTTCCCTTGTCATACAATAACTGTTTACAAGCACATCCAGTATCTCTATATTAATTAAATACTCTGGGACTGGGATTCTCCTTTTCTAGTAATGCTGTCAAAGGTTCTTAAAGTTGTCTCTGATCCCTCCAGAGTCCAGAAAAATTACAAATTTTGTCTCAGTGTCTAATACCAATTTATACTGTGTTGTGCTGTCACTCAACGACAAATTAAACATCTAACAAATGCCCCCTAACCATCAAGGCAAATGCCCATAGTGACCTGTGGCTATGCTATATAATGCAATTTATATAGCATAATAGGTATTTATGGTTTAATAGGTATTTATGTCTGAGTGCACAGTATTTATGTCTGAGTGCACAGTAGCACAGAAGTGTGTAGATCTGTGAGTTATAATGCTGTGCTGGAGAGCAAGATTGTCTGCTTTCTCTACTGAACAGAATTTTGAATAAAAGCATCTGCACACCTGTAAACTCCTTCAATGCATCTGAGAAACTGCAGCACATGGATAATGGAACAGAAAGTCTGATCGCTGTCTCTCACTTTGAGGGTCACTTTGGTCTGACTCATAGTGGGTCAACACAGAGGTTCTTTCATGCCATAATTATCTAATTAAAGTAATCTGTCTAATAAAAAAACGTCTCCTTTCCCCAATAACAACTGTTCACTTTCTCTTCTGCACCAGTCATCTGAAATATAATGAATATAATCTGCTAATATAATCTGAGTTTGATATTGTCTTGATGTGTAGTAGATAAAGTTCCTGTTTAGCTATACAGACTCCTCTACTTGCGAATGAGATACGTTCCAAACAGCCGTTCGTAACTTGAAATGTTCGTAAGTCGTTATTCAACATCATTTTAAGGATATACGCAAGTACAAAGAACTAGGATGCTGGGAGTACGCACGCTACGCTGCTGCGCGGCGGGAGTAGCGGCCAGAAGTCGTGCTAGGTGGGATTGCGCGCAGAAAAAAACGATGTTGCGGACAGGAAACGGGAGCCCAACGAACACAATTTGGACTTACAGTCCTCTCCGTTCGTATGTCTGAAAGTTGAAAGTTCGTAAGTAGAGGAGCGTCTGTATGTAGTTTAATAGCCGAAAGTGACAGAAACTCAAAGTTCACCTGCAAGTGACTCACACTTTTTATCAAGCTGATTGCTTTACCTCTAGATTCCCCCAAAACACCATTATTTATCCTAAATAAACTCTGAGTGCAATACACACTGTTTAAAAGCGGTACAATACACACTGTTTAAAAGCGGTAAGCTCCCCACTGCTCTGCTGATGTCCGGCCATCACCACGTCGGCTCCTGCCTGCTCGTGACCTTGACAGCTCTCGCCTGCTCACAAGCAGACACTGACACGTCTATTTCAGCCTATCCGGCGTTAGCCCCCCAGGCTGTGCTCGACTTCCCCTTAGGCGCCGCAGGAATGGTACCTCCTCCCTTCAACACTGGTAGCCTGTCTTAGGGCCCTCCCAGAAGAGGCCACCACTGCTCCGCAAGCTCCCCACCTGGAAGAGACCGCGGGCACTCCATGAGTCGGGAAGGGAGTGTGGCTGGGTCTGGGGAGAATGAGCCTGTCCCGTCGCCGGGCCCCTGGCTGGAGTCCGCCACATCGTAGCTGGGCTCCCTCCCAGAGCCCATTGCAAGATGGCTGGTGGTCAGATCAGCCTCTTCTACTGGCCACCACCAGCCCTGTTCCTGACACAACAGTAGCCGATACCTCAGCTGGCATGCCAGCCTCCCACGACCCGGAACAGTCACGCCCAGAGGAGGAACTTGAGTGGGACCATCTGGGCATTGCTCTAAGTTATGAGTCAGGGGGCCCTGCCCAGGACTTAAAACACACGGGTCTTTGACGCCGAAAACATCTCCAGTACTGCTCAGCCTCCAGCCTCAGTCCTTGTCTGCCATAGTCTTCGTAAGTATAGTCTGCCCAGTCCTGATTTTTGATTCTGTTTTGTCTCCCTAGGTCTCCAGTTCTAAGTCTGAGCATTTGATGTCTAACCCTGTCCAGTGTCCCTGGTTGAGCCCCGTGTCCTGGCCCCAAGTGCCCGTTTTCTCGTCTGATCCCTGGAGTGCCCTGGGGTGCCCTGGAGTGCCCTGGGGTGCCCTCCTCGGCTTGGAGGGGGGTACTGTCACGTTCAGCCCCGCCCTGCTTCCCTGTTCCCAGCGTTTCCCCTGACTCTGTCTGCTAGTCAGCCCCGCCTGAAGCTCATTAGTCTTGCCTCATTTTCCTGCCCTCTTGTTAACCAGCCACAGCTGCCTTGTGTTCACTCCTCTGTTAATCACGTATAAAAGTGTCTTCTAGTCCTTTGCTCCCTGTTTGGTCATTATTCTCTGTCTGTGTCTGCTGCCCTGCCCAGTCCCCACAATAAACTCCCCTGCTAGGGGTTTCACTTGCTAACAGTCTGCCTTTGGGTCGTCCTTCTCCTGCCATATCGTGACATACTGCATGTGACAATATGATATCCCTTACGGCATTTTATTTAAAAATTGATCAAATGTTTTATTTTGACATGTGTGGAGTCAATTATGTAATCCATTCAATAATAGTGCGTGCTAAGCAGAAATCTGTGTATACTCCGTGTATAATCCATGTATACTACGTGTATACTACGTGTATACACTCGGAGTGCTTTAGCGCCTTTCCCCCTCAGCAAAACGAATGCGTTTACTCATCTCCGCTATTTTTGTTACTAACCCCGAAAATAATATTCTTAAAGTTAGAAAAAATCTTAGTCGCCTACTTTGTTTTATTTATTCGTTGTGTGTATGTTAAAGCATGTGGGCGTTACATCTGAATAGCTTGTAAAGTGATAACGGTTTAGTTGCTGTTGTATTTGAATTTAATGTAATTACTAATGGCTAATTGCAGTGGCAGAGTACAGCAGCGGTATAGTACAGCAACAGTAGAGTATAGCAGCGGTAGCGTACAGCAGCGGTAGAGTATAGAAGTGGTAGAGTACAGCAGCAGTAGAGTATAGCAGCGGTAAACCAGCTGCACCAACCTATAGGTTCCACCATCCTGGTTCGCTGATGGTGCTGCAAACTTAACACTCTAACTCCCTATCTTTCCCCAAACATTTATCATTCTCGTCCATGACAGGCACGACCAGAATTATGGGGGGGGGGGTGCAAAACAAATTGTGTACAAGATCAACTGGGCCGAGCAAAACAATTGGATCTGACACTTACAGACCCCCCACCCCAATTGTTGACCCCCCCCCCGTCTCTTCTACTTTATGTGGTGAAGGCATATGAGCCTCAAGCACAAGGTATGACAGACATCAGCTCAGGGCCACCGGGGGGCGCTGCCCAGGCAGGTGGGTGTGAAACGCTGGTCCACGGATCACATAGGGGCAGCACTATAGCATGTCACCTGGAAAGCGTGAAATACTTTTTCCTAGTGGGGGGTGTATTACGCCATCACCATGCTCTGGTAGCCTGATGGTAGTTATTCCCTGTTTTGCACCTGTAGCATTTAGGATAGGCTCCAAACTCCCCACGACCCTGCATAGGACAAGCAGGAACAGAAAATGAATGGATGGATGGATGGATGGATGGATGGCTACAAGATCATCACATGACACTAAGCTAGTGGTGTGATTGGGCCAGGCATCTCTATGATTGAAAACGATCTTTGGCATACCTGCTGCAGTAAATACCAGCAGGGCTGGAATAAGCTCTCAGCATGAAGATGGCATTCTGTACCCGTGACCCGCCCCCTGGGACCCGCCCCCTGGTTAGCAGAGCAGGATAGAGCCTTATGGGGGGAAATGTAAAAATTCTCTCAGACTTTTTCCAGTTGGTGTCTCTCATTTTGTGACAGTGGTGGTAATAATAATAATAATAATAATAATAATAATAATAATAATAATAATAATAATAATAATAATAATAATAATTATATGGAAAGGATGGACGGCACAGAATTTATTTCAGTACCTGGCTAATAATGTAATTTAATAAGAATCTTTAAAAGACACATGATATATATAAAACTGCAGACATTTATGGCTTGGAAGTGACGTGTAGGATGGTGAGATATCCTGAGCCAGGACTTTTATAGTCTGGGAATATCTATGTGAAATGAAATTACAAAAACAAATCCAGCAATGACATTATGCCAGTGCAACAGAATACACATATAGCACCATCCATCTGTCTGTCTGTCCGTCCTTTAACCGCTGACCCTAGTCAGGGTCATGGGACATTACCTGACATATCGCTGTGTTTCCTGGAGCAAGATCATGGGGAGTCTGTCCCCACATGCCTGAACGGCTCATTATATTGATTATTATTTTACTGTGTGAGATGTGCTCCTTCTAGACATACATTAATCCAGCAGGATTGCCTGTGTTGAAAATGGATGCAAAATCACTGGAATTCTTGTAGATTTTGTTTGAGATCCACAGTAAACCAACAGGATAAACACCACCAATGTTTAGTTTGATGCGGCTGCTCTTGAGTGGCATGTAAGAGAACCTTGGCTGTTTATTCAATGACTTTATAGCATCAAGTCCTCATTGAATGCTGGGTAAAATCTTCACGTTTCAGCAATGCAGTGAGGTACATACTCTTGTCATTGAAAGCAAGCACTGCATTTTCTGAGTATGTTAATTACATGTTAATTGCTACTATCTTCATTCCTGCCTTTGCATCAATCGGTGTGTGTGTGTGATAGATCTGAAGAAAGCACTGGAAGTTAAGCACAGGTCAGGAACATTCACCTCTCCTATAACTATGTGAAACTCATCCATCCATCCATTTCCAAGCACTGCTTGTTCTGAAACCATAGCTGGGATGGTGATCAGGAGCCGGTCAATTAAGGGGTACTCACACAAAAACAAGGGCAGCGATCAGCGTCACATGAAGAAGACGTGAACATGGAAGGAGCACACAAGCCCTACTGGAGACAGATTCAGGCTGACAGCTCAGGAAGCGCAAGCACGGCACAATGAACCACCCTGCCGTTACCCGGCAAGGACACCGAGCTCCGGGTTCAGGGCACAGCCACGGTCCGCCCACTTCCATCCCTGAGAAATCCGGGGTTGCGAGCACCGGTTCCCCTTCTCTGTGTTACAGGGATGCTGCTTTCCTGCAGCCTTCAAGATAACACTGTAAAGAATCCCGACTGCATGGTGAGTGAGCGGAGAGAGAGGCTGGAACTCACCTGCTCTGGCTCCGCCCGCCTTGGGGCTGTCAGACTGCACGCTCCCGGTCATCGCCATCAGGAGTCGTCGGAGGTGCTGGATCCTATTCCGCAAGCTTTCAGAGTTCGCTTCCCGCAGCACCACAATCCAGGACTGCAAGGCTGATGCAGTGCCGGCTTCCAGACAGAGATCCGTCTCTCCGCTTTCGAACTCTGTGTGTGAGAAGCGCAGGGCACCTTTAGGGAAGTCTGAAGGGGACAGGGCACTGGAGGGTGCGGGGATTAGGGGGGCTGTGGGGGGTGGCTGAGCAGATCATTTAAGAGAAGGTAAGAGAAGACGGATATTATGCATGATACAGACCTTCATCAATCCATCTTCTCTGTCACAGAATCCAGTAACCTAATAGTCCAGAATCAGACCCCCGTCGGCTTGCGATTTAGCCTGCTGCCTCATCTTGGCAGTGCAGCGGTCCGTCTACCCCCTCCCGAACGTAATAAATGTGCCACAAAGCTCGGCACAGGGAGGATCAAGCCACGACACTCAGCGGAAAGCGTCCTACTCAGCAGGGCTGCCCGCTACAGCCAGGATCCAATTCATTAAAGGTGCTGAGCTTAGCCGTGCCAGCGGAGGAGAGACGGACACGCGAGCGGCACCGGCAGCGATGTGGCGATGAGCGCTCCGCTCGAGGGGACCACCGGGATTCGCTGAGCTAGAGGTGTCCGTCATCGCTCGGCAGAGCCCTCCCTCTGTGCGGCCCGCCCCCCCGTCCCAGCCACAGGCGGAGACGACTCACAAAGACGACAGTCTACATTTGGCATCAACAGGTGGCTTCTCATTAAAGGGCACTCATCTGTGTGGGGGAGGAGGGAGAGAGTGTGTTGCGTGACATGGGGAGGGGGGGGGACGTTAGGAAGAAACTTGGGGAGGGATATGCTGCTTCATTTTCAAAATATCCAAGTTAAGTGATGTGAAACATGTTTCAGCCAAAGCTATAAAAATGTCTCTCCTGCATTGTAATGAGGAGGCCAAATAGGGGATGAGATCAGCAGAACAAATTAATGCGTTTGAGCGCAAGAGATTAAGTTTACATAATTAGACACGACAGCCACATTATGCACTCGGGCGGCATAATTTATTTCTTTAGTTATCAGCACCAGGGACTGTCTGGTCGTGAGCAGAGCACCGAGTCTAAGTGAGATGGACGGTTCCCACTGACCTGCGAAACAATAAAAAATAAGACGAATGCATTTTCTCCGCGGATGTTCAGCTTGCCTGCTCCGCGGAGAAGAAAACTCGCGTGCGATGAACGTCTCGCCACTTCGCCTTAACGAAGAGTGCAAATAGGCAGCGACTGTCCCATTAAAGTGTGGGAAGAGGAGGAGGCGATGCGGCCGCAAGACGCTTAACGTGCTCATTTTAACACACTGAACGCAGCCTTATTATGCCGATTTATGAGAGCTGCTCAAAAAAATCGATAGAGAGAGAGCCAAGGCGACGGAGCGTGGCCCTTTAAGATGCTTTCTTCAAATACGGCACTGGCAGGTACTAGTCACAGGACACATCGATGTGGCCAGATGCGATCATCACCCTTACATCTAGCTGAAGGACCTGAGCCCTTCTGATCTCTAACCCTTATCCTATCCGTTTTCCGCTGTACTGTGTAGTTCTCTATTCCGTATTTTCAGCGTTTTCCGGTAAAATTCCCGGTCTGACTTGGTCGGTGGTCTCTTACTGATGATGTGCTTGTCTTGCAGGTGCTGACCCGTGACCCACTCTGGAGAAAAATCGTTGGTCAGATAAATGAGGGTGAATGTAAACTCTGAGTCACCGGCACACCCTGCCCCCCCCTCTCGAGAATCGAGAGAGACTGTGGTGCAGAGATGGCATGTTGGCACCACCTGACAAACCAAGACTGATAGGAAGCAGAAACGAGAGCGGACATGCAGGAAGCACCTGAGCTCTCAGGCTATTTGTTCACCACCCATTTCACATTTTGTTTTAGTGATATACATTTATTTTTTTGAGAAAGAAGGGTTAGATAATGCTTGTGGTTAAAGCCCCATCTGTAACATCACCTTGCCAACTTTGGGATTTGAACCAATGACCTTCCACTCCCAAGCATAGCATCCTAACCCTGTGAGCTGCACACTGCCTCATTCCATGCCCCTTTCCCATCACCTCTCTGACTGGAGAGGCCCAAATCAAGGCCGAGATCCAGTTGAGCTCACAGTGCCATTTTGCTAGACTGAGTGGCAGTTAAGCCTACTTCTCTGTGCATTTTCAGTTCACTGTACATATGCTGGACATTTATATAGATGTATAAACTTCGCTGTCAATTATCTAACAAAAGTCCTGTACTCTAAATTATTTCTTGATTATGATTAAGTCAATCTCTCTTGTTATTATAGTGTGTGGCTCTATTATGTTTGAGTATCCTGCTGAGAAGAGGGCAGGTCACATACAGCAGCAGGCCACATACAGCAGCAGGCCACGGGGGCACTGGCCCCCGCTGAAAGATGACCCTGAGTGGCCCCCCTCCCCTGTCACTCACCTAATGAAAAGAGACACACCTACGTGACTGGCCAACACCCTGGAGAGACATGGTGGTCCGTTTACCGTGGATGGTGGAATTCTAAAGTAAAGCTTGAATCAAAATATCTATATAGAAAGATAACATCATCGTCTAATATGTACAAGATCCTGTTCGGGATGCAGATATAATGACTGACTCCGTTGTCAGCTGACTCTCCCCAATACCGACTACCCCCCCAGCCCAGCAGTACTGCATCACGCTCCAGCTTCACGCTTCAGCCCAACAGGTACTGTACCTCAGACCTCCATTCACTCCACTCTACCTCCTGTCCGTTTGGTTGTCTCCCCCGATGCTGTAATTATCTCTCCCCTGCATACTGGGAAGATGCACCCTCAACCACAACCAGTCAGTTTCCATTCTGGCCTTTCAACTCAGTTGCGCTACATCAATCAGCTTCCTCTCTCCCTCTGTTTTAAAGTTCCTCTCTTGGAATGAATGCTTTCACCAGCAAGAAGTTCAACAATATTAGGAATCTCTGAGGTTCTCTGCCTCCCCACCCCCTGCATCTAGTTTATCAAAATATTATTACACTTTACTGTGCAGCCCTGCTTTGATTTTCACCTCTTGGGTAGGTCGTACTCAGCTGCCAGAACTCTACAGCCATAGGCCTTACGACCGCAAGTTCAAAAGGTTTTTGTGCTGGATCTCCTGTTTACTCCAGATCTCAAAGCTCTTATGCTGATCACACCCAACCCCATGTCCTCACCCCCTTACACACACCGCTCTCCATCTCCCAAACATATAATCTCTCCAGCTGGATGACTGACCACCAACAGAATGCTGGATGGAATTCCTTCTCATGCCCATCTGTGCCTCAATTCACAAAGATCTCTGGTCAACAAAACTGTGTTTTCATCAAGAACCACCACAGGCTACCTAAAATGAAGGCTACAGTCTCTCAGTCTAAGGTTTTGAAGACCCTGCATCATCTGGATTACCTGCCACACGATGGGATTTTCCCAGCTGGCAGCCCGCTCTGCGATCACATCCTAGATCAACTCTGACGCAGCTCTGCTGTTGTTTGAAATGCCTACCTGCTTATTCCATGAAACCAGCAACTCGTAGGACAGGCAGCTGCACGCTTCTGCCTGGAATGTCTCTCACACACACGGGCTGAGGCCCTTAGCGACTCCCAATCCTTAGTTCTGACACGTGGGCTTGATAAAAGAACATCAGCACCTCACATTCTGAACGTCATCAAAGTCCTTTCAGGATTCCGACACAATCACAGGGATGGCTGTCTGTGTCCTGAGCAAAGGTCAGGAATCAGCTATAGAACAAATTTTCCACGTCACTCCGGATAACAGGATTTTTTTCCTCTCAGCAAATCCCTCTTCTCTTTAAACTTCACCTCCCCATCAAAACACATCTCTTCAAAACGCCCTTCATCCAGTCACCCTTGTGTGTCTCACTACGTGGACACCTTTTGCATGTGTGCCGTACATTATACTCAGTTCCCTGAAAACTTTCCGAAAGGCACATAAAACACATTTTTAAAAATCATGCATACATTCTTTGTCAAGAATAAAATGGTGCATTTCTGCCAAAAAGTCAGTCATTTTCACCTAACGATGCCAAAATATAAAAAACAATAACGACACTGAAATATGTGTCATTTACAGCACTAGTTATTCAATGACTGTACCAATTTGCAATTCCCCTTATGCTGTTTATTAATTACCTATTAAAATGAAGTAGTAAGTAAATAAATAAGTAAAAAAGGCAACAAATGGTTAAAAAATCAATTAAAAATACAAACGATTAGCATGGTATTCGATTAATAGAGTAAAACAGAAAAGGCTGCTGTTCTCTTTAAAGCACTTACCAGAAGTGAAAGAGAGTGACTGAATGTGAGATTTCAGACGGCTTTCAGGTGCTGCCTTGGGTAAGGGCCTCCCAGACTCTGTGCTATCATGCATGCAATATAGAGGATTATATCCATAATGCAGCCCATCAGGTAAAGAATAAGAACAGATCACTACTGAATGTCAAAGCAAAGCTTGTAGCATGAGGCTGGGATGTATCCCTTTTCAGTAAAGCTAAAGACACTGAAATTGATTTTGTTTCACTTTATGGCGTCTGCGACCCTACATCGAATTCAGCTTTACAACCTAAATATCTTTCTGAACTGATGATCACTCTTCTGATACACCGATGTAATTCAGTGTAACAGTGTAACAGTACATCAGGACAAAACCCGGCATGTAAAGGGTCATACAGTGACACACATTTACTGGGGCTGCATGTATGAACCAACCGAAAAACACAAAGCAGCGCATCCTGGAGAAGTGCAAGAGGAAGCGAGAGGAGAAAGCCGTGCGGAAAGGGGAAGAGTGTGCCACAGTGGGCCGGAGCACGGGCAGGAAGCAGCGGAAAGTTCAGAGAAAGTTCTCCATTTTCATAAGTCCGCAGCCTGACTACATACACCTTATGGAAAACAGCTACGTAGAAAAACACTAGATGTGACCTAGCCAAACTACACATCTATTCCCCGATATTCCAGGGCATTGCACATCTCATTTTTCAAACAAAATTAAACAATCGGCTTCGGGGGACAATAATGAAACAGACAGGCTCCCGCTTAACTCTTACTTTTGCCTTCCTCTTCGTCGGCTTTCCCCGCGCTCAGTCACATGCTACTCGCTGGCAGAAATGCAAAATGCAAACAGATTCATCCGTGTGGCAGTACTTACTGATGCGTAATGCAGAATGGTTATCTCCACTCTCCACGACGTGACATCGTTCCAGGACGATAACCTCCACTGGCTCAGACCGCTGCAAGGACAGAGAACGGAATCAGGAGGAGGGCAGCCACCTTAGGGAACTGTCAGGGCTAATTGCTGATTGACAGCTGGAGAGACGCACGGACCCGTGCATCTGAGAGAAAATCATCTCCATGTGGCCGAAGAAGAAGAGGAGGGAGACGGAAGGGCTGAAAAAATAACACACAGTCCTCAATTTGCCTCTTGGTACCACACAGCTTTTGCTCCTGGCTGATGGGACACATTCTCTCCTTGATTAGTGAATAGCAGAGCTTATTCACAGCCCATTGAGCACTGATTGAACCCAACACAACAATGCTGGTTCTGGCTGTATTAAAGAAGAACAATCAGGCCTTAATCAGAGGTAAATATGCTAGGTATAGAG